ACCAGAGGATGCTGTAATTTACAGCTCCCTTCCCAGTTTAAACATGGTGGCAAACAGTAGTCTCCTTCGCGTATGTTTTATAACAATCTCACTAAGTGTTTACTAGTCCCTTTCATCACTAATGATCATCACTAGGCACAGTGGACCGAAAAAGAAACTGCAGTGCCCTCACCACTAGTTTTGCCAATGCATAGATTCCTTTTTTATGAAGCATTACAGTATTTCTGTCCTGCAATTTTTCAGTTCAATAGTGAAAAATGGAGTAGATGCCACTATTTGATGCCATGAAAAATAATCACAGTGCTACTTAAAGCAAATGTAGCAGAAGATTCTTCTAACAGAAGCTCTATACTAAACTACACTCTACTAACCTTATCTTCCATACTTCAGAAGGCAGCTTGGGTTTTGTGCTCTAGCAACCCTATTTTAGTGGTCAAAATAGAATCTTAATTAAACATAGCGTACAGGCTGTATCTCAGATGAAAAAATGAAATTAGAGCATAGCCTTACGTGGAGTCTATACCTATTATGGTGCTGAAAGGTAATTTTTATATTTCTTTTCTTCTGAACCCATGACTGTTTTATGATGTTAGATAATTAGTGGTTCAATCCATGCATTTAAAATGGGTTCTGCATAGTATGTCCAATTCATTAAATTTTTACAGACTTTTACACTAGAAAATGGAATTTGCCATTTGCATTCTCAATAGTTGTGCCAGTTCATAAATACGGTTATGCGTCATTACTTTAGGAAAACATAGTAAATCTTCAAATAATTTCAGATTTTCATACCTATATAACATAAAACATATTCCCTGTATCCATATACTTCAAAGGATATATTTACACAAACATATTATATACTTTTGAATTCAAGCAAAACATTTTTTTTTATTCTGTAGTTTGAAAAAACTAATAAACTTCAGGAAAGGAACACATGCATTTGTGTATGTACGTGTCTGTGTGTGTTTTAATGTGTATTTTTAAATATGCTTCAAATGTACTGGCACCTGCTTCATGTGTTCTTTAAAGGAGTGTAATTTTAGATGATCAGATTGCAACATTGTATAATGAAGTTAGTTAGATGACGAAAACCTTACAGGATTATGTTAAAATAAAATGTGCCGATAGTATTGAAAAAGAAATACTTTATATTTATTCTATGTTATATAGATAGGTAAAAGCGCTGATTTCCTATAGCAGATTATGAAGAGGAGGCTTATTTATCATACATGCCCTGGGAATGAAACCAACTCTAAGGGTAGTATAGGATTTGTTTATGTATGCTGTTTATGTATTCTGAATATTTATGAACCAGCATCCCATAGTCTTGTGTCAGGATTCACAAGATTCTGTGGAAATCTGTTGGACCTGGGAGTCCTCATGAACAACAAGTTGACCGCAAGCCAGCAAGGTGCCCTTGTGGCCAAGAAGGCCAATGGGATCCTGGGCTGCATTAGGCAGAGTGTTGCCAGCAGGTGGAGGGAAGTGATCCTGCCCCTCTCCTCAGCCCTGGGGAGGCCTCACCTGGAGGACTGTGTCCAGTTCTGGGCTCCCCAGTCCAAGAGAGACATGGAGCTCCTGGACAGAGTCCAGTGGAGGGCTACTGGGATAATGAAGGGACTGGAGCACCTCTCCTATGAGGAAAGGCTGAGAGAGCTGGGCCTGTTCAGCCTGGAGAAGAGAAGACTGAACTGAAAGGGGATCTCATCGATGTGTACAGGTATGTGAAGGGAGGGTGTCGAGAGGATGGGGCCAGTCTCTTCTCCGTGGTGCCCAGTGGAAGGACAAGAGGCAACGGGCACAAACTGAACCACAGGAAGTTCCA